ATTTCTCATTTGCTCCTTCGATTTCGAATTCCTATCCTACTTATCAACAGATTTATATATAATCTGTGAAAGACTCTAATGAGGACACTTTTATCCTGCATTCCGGATCCTATTCGTGTTCTGAAGATTTTCAAAGGAATAACTAATTTGAAACATAGCTTCAGCATGAGTAGCATTGAGAATTTGAAATTACGGGTCCTCAGCAATTCCTAACTTGAGGCTAGCTGCAATCCTTTCACTCATCATTCGCTTATCAAGGACGTGAAATTACTTGTAGAAGGTTCGGTTTGAGATTATCCATAAATTTAAAGTTCTTGAAATCTATCCTCTTTCTACCCTAACCACTTCAGTCCATACGCACCATTTATTGAAACTTCCACTCTTCTAACCAAGTTAATAATCATCTAGTATTGAAGAACAGGGGCAGAGCTAAGTGTAGTTCCCCCACCCCCAACCCCAACAGAAAAAAAAAAAATCATTTTGAAAAAAATCATTTTGTAAGCCAAGAAAGTTTGAAAACTTTGCAAGTTACTCTCTGTCCCCCCCCCCCCCCCCCCAAAAAAAATTGAAATTCTTTTTTCTATTTACATTCTCCACCTGCTAAACAATGAAGAGACCCATAATTGTTACGCCTAAGAAGGGTCTTGATTTAAGGTTTAATATGGATGTTAGTACAAGAATAAAATCTTTTAACGTTTTTAAGCTCTTTACTGCCACATTATTGCACAATCAAGACTTAGAGTATAATAACATAGAAAAAAAAGATGCATGCTTAACTTTTGTGTCCTTTGAACTCTACTGATACTACTATTTATGTGGTGTCAGGGATTTACCCTGATCTTAGGATCCTGGCACCACTGAAAATGTATGTACTATAACTCTAATGAATTCATGCACGAGCCTGTTGCTCATCAGCAGGAAACCTTCCAGAAGTTGCTTATCAAAATTAGCAGAACACATGGAACTCTGATTACAAGAACTTCGCGGAAGATCCCGAAGTACAATAAATTCTGATTTTTGTCATTAGTAGGACTAGCATTTGACAGATAAGTTATAGTGCTCATTCACTTTAGTTTGCCAGGCCTAGCAGCAGCAGCAGCAGCAGCTAGCTGTTACAAATCCTACATATACAACAATGCATAATGGAGAGAGCCTTGGGAATAGATCTAGGCTCATAGTCCCCAGTCCCCACTCCACCCTCATTGGTTCGTTTCCAAGGAGATGACTGATGAGGAGGTCATGGCGGCCATCCTCTTCCAAATAAACTAGAAAGAATAAGAAGAAGATGATGAAAAAGAAAACTATAGCGACGTCATCCTAGGCCATCATGCTTTTCACATGGTCGCCCTAATATTATACTAGGCAGCAAATTTTGCATTAATCCCAGTTCTCTGTTTCCCTTTCTTGTCCCCTTACCTCAATATTCTTCTCCTCTTTTCATGACTAGTGAGTGGTTTCTCCATATCATTCGTTCCCATCTCTGATCTCCCGCTACCTTCCAAGTTCCAACACCACCACCATCATCCAAACCCACTCCATCATGCCTGTCTATACAACAAAAGAGCAGCAGCAGTACCTAGCTAGAATTTTCAATATCTGTTATGTCATCGATCAAACATTGGAAGTACTTAATTTGTCTATATCTATTCAAAAGCTTAGGAGAGTAGTATAACGATATAGCCCCTTGCTTTTGTCCACCTTATGAGCAACATTTTAGGCAATGGGGCTATAGACCTGCATGAGCAGTGTTTTGATGAGTTCCCATGATTTGCTCAACTTAGTATTTCTTTATTTCACCAATTGAATTAGCATGACATGTCTCCGCTGGAGGAGCTGATCTTTCTTACACATGACTCTGTATGGTACCATAGCATGTTATACAGGCTTCATTCATTTGACTCTAATCTCCCCTTCTGTATTACTACAATTGTATATTTTCCCTCTGGGCTCGACATATGGGGACCCACATCAGGAATGTGTGATGATGAATGATTGATGCCACAAGCATATTGTACGTTTGAAGGAATAAAAATATAAGAATATTGCATGCAGGCATGCCTTCTTGTTAGCTCTGTCTTCATGTACTTTCATATTGGCAACTTGTACTAAAAAGATCGGAAATGGGGCAGGAACGGTTGTCAGACCCGTTCCTGCGAGTTCACGGCTGTGATTTTGGCCCAAAAATTTGTGCGGCTCAGATCACATGTGATAACTCGATTTTCACACCATGTATGGATCCCACAAAAAAGTATTCTAAAATTACGCTATGTATAAAGAAAGTTACACCGTGTGCTATCGATGTTACGCGCAGTGCAAAATGCACACAATTGGTACAAACGGTTGCACTGCAACCGTTTGTACCCCTTGTCCAGAAAGATCTATTTTTAGATGGGGCAGTAGTTAATGATCAATTAATCCAGGGTTGTCTTCGCATGTATCATGGTCACAATGTCGTGACGACTGAGCCAGGGATTTGAGTGTTTGGTAACAGGCAAACTCACATGCAGGTTACAGATCTAGGGTTACACTGCTAAATTTTCAAAAAAGTTTATGTTCCGGGGAAGTAATTCTATTCTAACTGGTTTACCAGCGTGATCGTGCCCAACTTGTCGTGGCTCGATTAATAAGATCTTGACTTTGTATTACGAGCGATTACATTCAAATTCAGTAGTTAATCATGTATCTATCACTGTCTAATTTGTTGATCACACGTTTTCATCTCGAAATGGGATGAGCCTTCTCCCTCTAAATTGTTTTCTATTTCATCCAAAAAATCACCACCATATTTGTGGATATCCATGATGCCTGGAGAAAAAGGAAAAAAAAAAAGAAAGGGATGAATCATTAAAGCTTTCAACGAGGCCATTTGTCCATCCCTAGGGGCATCAGCCGCTAATGGATTGTGGGAAAAAGTAGTACTATTCTGGTTTGTTGCTTCATCAAGCTTTGGCAAATGTTCATCTCAAGTCTTTGAAGACTCTATACGATCAGGTTATGCAGCGTGGACCTTTGTCTCCAGGTCCTCTGCAGGTAGTTATTTTTCTAGTATAGTATGAACTATGAATTAGTAGTAGTAGGTGTTCATCAGCTTAAATCTTACAGCTTTTATGAGTATCAGTTTGAAGATCAAGCCACTCATAGACTTCCAAATAATTACGTACGGATCATCGCGGTGTTTTTTGGGTCTTAAAAGGCGGATTCATTATTGAGGACGGGAACAGAAAACGGGGTGATTTCCAGTTTCTCTGCGCTATATGAATCACTTTTACTGGTATTACTCTCGATTTTGTTAACATCTTAGACGCTAAGAAAATTATAATATCTGTGATGCAACTATTGTTATTTTCTAAGAAAACACCATTTGGGCGCAGTTGGCAAATTTCAAGTTTTAACCATAACTGGAGGGATGAAATATTTGAATGCTAAAAATGAGGGTCTAAAATGAATCAGAATGGTCCAAGATATCTAGGAACTAAAATGAATTAAAATTGCCAGTTAGAATTCCACATCCATGTGATGGATTGGACGATCCATTTGTGTTTTTGCAGGGATGTGGCTGACGACCAAGTTCTCTACGTAACGGGGCCCATTTCAGGAGGTCAGGATGAATTACGGCAGACCTATTTCAGTAGCTTCTTCCCCAATAATCCAAGAAGCCTGCCTAAGGGAATCTTTAAATGGGCCGTGCCTCGTGAACGATCAAAGCAGCACCATTGCAGAAGTAAAGTCGGCCTTTTAAGTTTTGCCAAACTCGGGGTCCTTAGGACTAGAGAGAAGCCCAAAGGTATAAGAAGCCGAATGGCACCAAACAACACAATGTATTTATTACTTGCCTCCCTATATCTCCTTCGAAAAAATTTTTTTTTTTTGCATGCCAAGATCTTGTTAATTCATGATAAAAACTTAACTCTATCTAAGGGGAAAAAAAAGGGGGGGAAGAGCAAACGTCGTAAACAGTCACCAAGCTATTTTTAATTGTATATTTTAGTCACCAAACTTTTTATTTACCCAAAATGGTCACTAAACTAATGAGTAAATAAGTACATTTTGGATTACTAAACTAACAAAAGTGCATTTTTTCGTCACTCATGTAAAGAAAATGCGTGCTTATCGGTCGCAAAATGCATGCTTTAAATAGTTAAATAAACTACTTTGGCTAAATAAAAAAAAGTTTAATGACCAAAATAAAGAAGGTTCAATAATCACTTTTATCATTTGGTCTTGAGAACCAAACTTGAAACTACCAACTCCTAGTCCTAACCTTTTTTCATAGGCCTTACCAGCAATAAAAAAAAATTTTTTTTGCCCTTTTTTGCGTAAGTCGCAGTAAGTTACTCAAAGTGTATTGCTTTGTTTTGAATGCGTGATTACTGATTAATTAGGCCAAATATCAAAAACTAAACACACTCATTCAGGTTAAAGATAGAAACCGGAATTCATGCACAACGGATCTTGTGTCCCACACTCTGTGCCACTCTCTGTCCCATTTTTTATTTTATTGTTATTTCTTCTATATAAACATCATGTTTTAGTTCTCATGTGATGTAGTAGTTGATCAACGATGAATGATCAATCTCAAGTCTCAACACCCCAAAAAAATAAATAAAAAATCTGTGAGTGCAGGCAAGTGGTCACCCACCCACCATAATGCCATATTCATATTTTGGATTCGACTTGGGCAAATAATTGTGCAACAAAAGCCCGGGCAAATAGGCAAGTAACAGTCGAGAGGACGATATTTTTTCAGAGTTTTTGGCATCATCTGATTCTTGAACAGCGACAGGAGCCTCCAAGCTCTTGTGGTACCGTCAAAATACTACTGCTCCGAAAGCACTGCATCTACCCAAAGATAAACGAGAGACAAAGTTACAACAGTCATGGGTCATTATCTCAGGCGACAGAGAGAAGAGAATTAAAACACAAGTTATCTAATGGATACGAACAAATGATGACACAAAGCGAATTTTAATACTTCATCCTCCTCGTTAATTGGTACAGGACAGGAGCCAGCAATACTACTATTATTATTATTGTCATCTACCCGTAGGCTTTGAAGCCTTCAGTGCATCGTACGTACTCAAGCTCAGTATATACTGTGCTAGTACCATTTCTGCACTAGAGGGGAAAGCGATCTCGATGTACTACTATCCATCATCCGTGCTCCTTGCACTAAACGCCGAGGGATGCTAATGCTAGAAAACTTGACTGGTGGTGAAAATCAGACTGCTGTTGTTTGCTTTTTCTTCTTCAAGAAAATAAATGATAATGGGTGATTTTTGCAAGCACTAAAAATGACAAAGAATATCTTTTTGCAAACTGTTATGCTACTACTACATCTATGGCGTATAGATAGAACAGTTGGAAAGAAAAAAGAGAGTAGTGTTAGGTGCAAAATTCTTGACTTTTCAGCACTTCACCAATTAATCATACAATTATATATTACGGAGTGCACAGGAGAATTCGAATTTCGAAATCTGGTAGTGGGTAATCTGCTTCCTTCCCCCCCCCGGTTTTCCCCATAAAATTCCCTTGCACTATTTAAGTCTCTGTTCATATATATAACAACTCGAGAACGAAGCGATGAAATTGCAGAATTTTGCCAAAGTGAAGTGAATGGAACAAGTTGACGACTGAAGAAGATTACCACCGATCGATGAAAAGAGAGACGAAGAGGAGAGAATATGGTTGACTGAAGCAGGGATTTTGCAAAGAAGGAAAGCTTGGATTCCTAAGAGATTTGCATATGTGCGTAAGCGGTCACGAGATTGTCAGAGATGCCTGCTGTGCTGTGCTGAGGAAGGAGATGGACTCTGGGTCTGGTCTGCTTCTGGTTGGTTGTGGAGGGACTTTGGACGCGCTCTAATGAATAGTAACGCCTTCCATTCCAAGCCTCAGGTCTCAGGCATCAATTCTATTCTATTCTATCTTACGTACGTTGTTGCATTGCATCTCTCTCTCTTTCTTTCTTCAATTCCTTCTTTAAGGACACGTCGCTCCACAAAGTAATCTTTTTTCTTCACCTTTTGCTTTTCTCTTTTTCCATTTTTACATCTTTTCAGAAAAGAGCCCCAAGTTGGACGAATCAAAATTCGAGGCCCCTTCCTCCCTCCGCCCTTTTTTTTTAGTATATACATATATATATGTATATCTTTGTTAGTTACTACTTTTGTATACACTATTGGCTATGTACATTACTTGTATGCTTTTTATACTAAAACTTTATAGTCATTCGAATATCTTATTTTAAGTGACTAGATTTTAAAGTTAAGGATTGGTCTTGTCTTTTGGGTTTGCGTGTCTACATACATACATACATACGCAATCCTCAGCCGCACCTTCTTGTCTGCTATGCTTCTTCTACGTAGTTTTCTGGGGGATCCTGTGTGGATATTTTCCATTTCTAGTAATTGGTCAATGTTCTACTAATAACTAATTAATAATGCTTGTCCATTACAACAATATATTCTTAAGCATAGGCTACAACAAACTCTACCATCTTTACTTTATTTCCCAAGCTTGATTAGTATGGTGAAAAGCAAGGGAAGAGCTAGCTCAGCTTCGTTAATTTGGACTACATTAGCCTGTAATGAAACAACGGACAAATTAATCTTAGGTTCCACTTTAATTTTTTGCTTGAAAATATTTGTTACCTAATACCCATGAAAAGATTATTGTCTTGTCTACGACACTTACAAGTTTTAGTTTAGAATCATAGATCAATGTATATGCAGAGGGGATCGGCTTGTGTAACATGATACGAGCATTGAACAAACAAATTTTATGATACATGAAAGAGTTCAAGGCTCCAAGCTCACATTTTTTCAACCTCGGAATTTCGTCTAGTACAAGATTTTCTCAGCCAGGGCAAAAAAAAAAAAAAAAAAAAACAGTAAAAGAATGGCAGCAGTTAACCAAGAATTAGAGATTTCCCTCTTGTCTTTGTAACCAAGAATTTTGATTATAAATCAACTGACTTCCTTCCAAATTTCCCTTTCATTTTCCACGTTCGTATGCACGATTTAGAGATGTTACTGTTGGACAACTTTCACAAAAAAGGAAGCACACCAGCTTTTTAGCTGTAAATTCTCAAATTATAGTCCCTTAGCTTTTGACACCCCGTTTTCAAGTTCCCTTAATCTCTCCTTCCTTCACATCATCACATGTGCCTTCTTAACCCCATCTCTAAAGTAGCAGTAGTAACTTCTCAGAAGCCTAGGCCCCCCTTTTCTCCCCCACCATCTTCTTTAGAGCGTTTTTCCTTACCTTTTTCTCTTTGAAAATTATCATCCCAGATAATGAGCTGCGAAGATGGTGCTATTTTCAGTTACAACTTCAGGCCTAAGGTTTCTCCAGACTTAATTCTTTTGAAGGCTTGACAAGCTAAGCCACATTTTCAAGAAAATGGGCAGAGCAACAAGGTGGTTGAAGAGTTTGTTTGGGATAAAGAGGGATAAGGGCCAGAAGGAGATTAATCCAAATTCCGGTAGCCAGAGAGAAAACAAATGGACGGGAATGGGCCATTCGGGAAGAGACACTGCTGATGGGCTGTGTTCAAATCCAAACACCATTCCACCCAATATTACCCCGGCTGAAGCTGCATGGTTGAGATCTTTTTACGCTGACTCTGGTGACAAGGAGCAAAGCAAGCATGCCATAGCAGTTGCTGCAGCCACCGCCGCTGCCGCTGACGCCGCCGTCGCCGCTGCACAGGCTGCGGTGGCCGTGGTTAGGCTCACCAGTCAGGGCAGAGGAGGGTCCATGTTTGGTGGTGGTGGTGGTAGTCGTGAAAAGTGGGCCGTTACAAAAATTCAAAGTGTTTTCCGCGGATTCTTGGTAATTAATTACTACTACTACTACTTTTGCTTCGAAGGTGTATAACGTATATTTGACTGACAGACACGGTTTCTCAGTATCGTAGTCACATCCGTTTCCTTGTCTTCTTTCTTTTTTTTTTTTGGCTGTCCCTTTTACCATTATATGCATTAATTTTGGTTCGTTCTTACTAGAAAAATGGAAATTGCTAAACGGGTATGGTGTGAATTAATCAGGCAAGGAAGGCACTGAGGGCTTTGAAAGGACTTGTGAAACTACAAGCACTAGTGAGAGGTTATTTGGTGCGTAAACAGGCGTTCGCTACATTTCACAGCATGCAAGCTCTTATAAGAGCACAGGCCAATGTTCGTGCCCAAAAAACTCGAGGCCTCCTCGATTCTACTGCTGCAAGTTCAAACCGGCAGTTTCATGCTGCAAATTCGGCGGTAAGAACTTGTCTCTGTGCATCTATTTTTGCAAGGAATTACATCTTAATTTAATTTGTGTCCATCTTGGTTAATTAGCAGGAAAAGTTTGATGAGGGTAGAAGTAGGCAGAATTCATTTCATAACAGAAGGCTCTCTGCATCGTTTGATAGCATTAACTCAAATGCAATCGATGAAATCCCAAAGATTGTGGAGATAGATACTGGAAGGCCTAAATCAAGATCCAGAAGAAGCAGCGCCTGGGTATCAGATTCCATTTCCGGGGATGCCCAGACTCTATCCTCTTCGTGTCAATGCCGACATCCTCCGCCCCACCTATCGATCCCTGATTGCAGAAACTCTCAAGACTCCGACTGGGGACTGACTGGGGACGAATGCCGCTTCTCCACCCCTCAAAGCACTCCCAGATTCTCCAATTCTTGTGGGACAAATCCACCTGTCACGCCAGCCAAGAGTGTTTGCGTGGAAAGCTTATTCAGGAATTGCCCAAATTATATGGCTAATACGCAGTCATTTAAGGCCAAACTGAGGTCTTACAGCGCACCGAAGCAAAGGCCTGAACCGGGGTCCAAGAGGAGGCTATCGCTCAATGAAATGATGGAGTCCAGAAGTAGTCTAAGTGGGGTCCGAATGCAGAGGTCATGCTCTCAAGTCCAAGAAGTTTTGAGTTTCAGGAATGCTGTTGTCGGTAGGCTTGCAAGGTCTTCAGAATTCTCAAAAGAGCAATTATACAACAGGGATTCTTACTCGGAAGAATATTTTGAGTAGCGATCGAAAGAATGTGCTGCAACTATCAATTCGCAAGCGCAAACAGAGCATGTAATTGTCTAGAATCTAGATCATCCTAGAGACATAGGGCAAGATGTAATCTTTACTCCCGTTTTCATTGAAGAAGTGATCAAGGTCGGTTATACCAGTACTGACGAGGTTAATAATAATTGTGTGTCTAATTTTTCGTGTTGCTTAGGTGTGCCGTTATTACAACATTAACTCGACCTCTGCACAAAAATGTACCGTACATCCAGTACCACAAATGCTGAGAGCCAACAATTCCTTTCCTGGAATCATTTGAAATGACAGGGCTTAGCTAGTTTGGACGGCAATGCTATGATTCATTATTGCCTCCGTCCCCCTCTCTGTGTGGTTGCATTCTAAGTATTCAAATTTTTTTTTTCTTTCACCTTTAGGGGCAGTACCGTCATAATTTGTTACGAGTGCTACAATGTCAATAGGATGATGACTTCTGTTGTCATGTGCGGGTGTGAGGTTGATGTGCTGCTGTATCTAATTTGAAATGGAAGAGCTATCTGGTTTTCTAATCTGAAGAAATAATGGGAATCTCATATGTGACCCACTTCTCCATTATGTAAACAAAAGATCACCATAACTTGGGCTAGTAGCATCTGTAGTCTGGGACCTCTCTGATTCATTCCATTGGCACATTACTTGGGCACTCTCAACAAGCTTTGCAGCCTTTTCTTGTTTCTTGTTTTGGCAGATAGAAAACAACTTGGCAGCCGAAGCTTTTAGGGTCGCTGGCTCATTTCTGCTGCAGCAACAACAACAAACAGCTACTACGACTGGGTTTCTTGTTTCATCAGCAGGATGGTGGGTGGTTAAGCAGCAACATTATTGCTTCCTATGGCTCCTCCCTAACACCAACAGCAATAGGCCTTTTATTGGGCGCAAGATAGTACAATTTTCCATTCCGCCTACGTGCCGAATTGTCAATTGTTGTTTTCTTTTGAGTTTTAGTTTTGACAATGGGCGTCGCAGAAGGCTTGATTCCAGCCTTCCATTTTTTGCGTCTTTATCTTCTTCTTGTCTTGTTGGATTATAATATCTAGACTATAGATGCCAGGTAGACTGGTAGGCTTGGTCAAGGACTCGAGATTCAGGAAGAAGGGGAAAAAGAGTAGGAAAAACTTTGTGCAACTTTAAGGTGTCGTAATTGTATAGCTAAATTACACCCCCTTCATCTAACGTGAAGGTTTGGATTCATGATAAAGGAGTATGAATTTAGCCCTCACTTAAAAAGTATAATGTGTGTTTCTACATTTAAATTAATTTATATGGTGATTCGATCATATTCTCAAGTCACGTTCATCATCGTTGGACGGGGAAATAAGTGTTTCTTAGATTATTATTGAAAGAAATAATTTCCTAAAAAGACCACAGAATTTTGTTTATCTTATATTCCCATTATATATCAGTAGCACGTGCTCTGCTGGTGAGTTAAATTATGGGGTGTTACTATAACGTAATGTTGTTACAGAAGTTGGTGGAAAGATAGCTAGCAAGAAATATGCTATAAGGAGAAATCTTGTTTTTATATAATCTTGTTTCACACTCATGTGATGTGAAACTTTGGGCCAATTTGAGTGCATATTGGACACATTTATTTGTCGCCTCCGCCCATGGACCCAATTTAAGACTGATGAGTGAATGAGGGCAGGATGTTTTCCACGCCAAACCTTTGACATCTTGAACTCACGATTTTTCTCTTGGATAAATAGAGCCCAACCCAAAGATCTGAGCAACAATGAATGCAATATATAGATTTCGGATTGGGACCTAAAATGAGTTGTGTCCCTTCCAGCCGAAGATTGTGCTGTTGTTGAAATTGTGACTTTCTAGACTGTAATTGTTCAGTGCGTGCGTTAGCAAAGAGCAACAGATGTAAATACCAAAATAGTAAACTAGACACTAAAAGTAATAGAGTAAATCTTATATACACACTATCACTGACTGACAGTATACACACTATCACCGTTGGATTCATGACACATGTGTAAAAATTGAATTTCAAATTCAAATTTTGCATAGTTATCATTCATTCAACGCTGACAGTGTATACAATGTCAGTGTAGGAAATATTAATTCAAAGTAATAATATGAAAAATATAGCAAATTAAGTTTTATAGACGAGATTGATTGGGGTACACCACGAAAAATTTAACGAGCAATGTTTAAAATTTTTGTGCCACAATCAATCTCATCTATCCAAATTCAATTTTCTACAAATGCAGGCTATAAACTTCATCATTCAATTGCTCCGCTATTTGCATAATAATTGCAGTCCAGAACGTGAACTGCAACATAACAAAGATAACGTTTAATTTCGCGAAATGTTATTTGACCTTCCATTTTTGTTAATCACATTTCTACTATCATTTTAATTATATAATTTTTTATTTAGTAGACTATATGATAAAATAAACGATGAAAGTGCAAATAACAAAAAAATAGAGTGCAGACAACATTTCCCTTTAATTTCAGATAAATTTTCCTTTTTCCTGTGTGGGCCGGGTGGATGCGCAATTTTCAAGCAGGATGGACAACAAGTGGGTTTGGTGCTTTGGATTGTGGGCTTAGAATAGAGGGAACGCTCGAGAGAGATTGGACCGTCTTACTACTGCTTAAGCCTAGCTGTCCTCTTAATCTTGGGTACACACAATTATAGGATTTGCCAGATAATTATCCCCTAAAATAATGGGATTCATTCAACCATCTGAATTAGAATCAAATTGTAAATCTCAATCTGAACTATTGTTAATCGTGTCTTGATCACAAGATTTCGAAATGATGCTTACCTTCCTTAAAACACCCTGATTCTTTTTATATTGTGCCAAAATTCTTTCTTAGACGCCGGGGCCCAAAAATTTGCGAAAACTGAAGAAGCATCTGCGGTGCAAGAATGTCGAATTCATTTACTCAGTACTTATTACTGATTTACAATGTCGGCCCAAAAAGGGAACAAAAAAAGAAAAGCAGAAAAAAAAGAAGCTCGTGTATGTTTGTTATCTTGATCATATTTTGATCCATTCAGAACCATCGATGAAGGCAAGCGAAATAAAAGGCTTTGCTTCCTCATCTGTAAGTTCTCTGGACCATGAAACTCTTCCTGCAAAACTTGCCCCTGCTCCGCTGCACTTGTATTGTCCATAAAACACCGTCCTGTGCAGATATAAGAAAGAGAAAAACAGCGTGAAATTTTAATGGCCTCAAAATAGCTATATGACCCCCGCAGGTAGTCCGACGGGTTTTGTAGTCTGGTAGTTATTAGCACGTTCTGTGATTGACCCTTGTATGCTATCTCATTGTGTATTATTGGAGTAAGATTTTATACAGGCTTAAGAGATTAGTCTGGTTGAAAGGTTGGAATACCTCCAAATGAAAAAAAAAATGGGCTCATGGGCCGACTATCATATGATTTTGTTAATTGGGCAAGCTACTATAATTAAAATGGGTGAGCTATTACAATCTTTTTTTGTGGTAAATAAATGTACCGAGTTAAATGTACACTATCCCCAAATTAACCATTTGTACAGATTTCTTAATGACTGATATCCAGTATAGTGCAATACTTGTGGTTGTACACGTGCATTAGAGACTTGTACATTGTAATCAGGTGCAATAAACAGTAGCCACAAACTAAAATTGTGTTCACATCCAGGGCATTCAATAATTTGGACTCTTCTACTTCTAGGACGTATCCAAGTCTTCAAGTACATGGCGCTTTCTGAAAGTTGAATATTCCTCCATATAGGAGCCTTGTGAAAGTTAGGTAAAGTTTGTTTAGGACACTTTAATGGTTGATTATAAGTGGATTATAGTAGACAAGAAGAATAGACACAAACTAAATAAGGAGTGAGAGTAAGTCAAGGTTATTGTCCTTGCTAGCTAGCTCTATATATATAGTGGCAAACAAACAACTGTCGCTGTGGAGATGCTTGTAAAGTGGTTGTGAGTTGTGACTGAATACTTTAAACAAAGTTGATAATCATGGTGGAAGAACAGTGTGATGCATGCTGGTGCTATAATAAGGAAAAGATAAGTTTGGATATACATATATAGTTCGAAATTGGGGTGGCACCGTCCCAATACCACCATCAAATGCAATGCTTTTGATGTGATACAAACTGACCTATAATTGGGCACCAAATAGATAGGCTATAATTGAGCACCATATAGATACGGATGGCCATATGTTATGTATAGTGGAGGAAGATGATAAAGATTTTGTAATTTTGCAGGGAGGTGATGATGAGGAAGAGCACTACTTACATTTCTCGACTAGGGTCACCCCAGTTATGCCAGCCTTTTGGAATGATAATGTTGTCCATATATGTGTAAGCGAAGATTACCCTGGAAAAGGGTCCCCATGCCCGTCCTAGGTACAGGGCTCCTGAACCCGTGACCTTACAGTTTACAAAGGAGAACCCTGTGTCCTCCAACAGGCTGCTTCTCCCTTGTGCTGTGACTGCCCCCGTTAACTGTGCTATTGCATGCACGTGACAACCCTGCGTTTACATTTTAACCATTATGTATTCTGCCATCATCATTTCATGATTTGAGCATAACTAGGTGCATGCAGATGCAGTACATAATTGGTTATGTAATGTACATTCTTAATAGTGTTTCTGTTTCACTAACATACAATAGTACCCAGAGGATTCTTGATTAGGATCAATGTACTTTCTCTAAATGCATATATAATGGTAGAAATTAGTGTTTCTATTCTAAGTTTAAGTTCTAGAGTAATATATATAGTTCTCTGGATCGAAGCATAAATTGATATATACAGAATGCTCCCTCCTAATTAATTTGGTTGCCAATATAAAAGCCATATGTTTCTTGCAACAATTCTCTTGAACTATCAGCTATAACAGGCGAGCTCTATGTTTAGTGCAGTAGGATCATTAGCTGGCAAATTGAAAAAGGAAAACCAAACTGTAAATAGAACGGAAACCGAACAAACTCTCCTGATGTAAGTGAAGCATGTCCACTTTCATGTAACACAGTGTTGCTTTTAGAAAAGACACGACTTGTATCTACCTCCACATTTCACGTCATCCCACAATGAATTCAAGAACATACAATTTTCATAAAAGGACATGCGATCCAAATTTCATCAAGTTTTAGTACTTTTTTCTTTTTTAAGTTTTAGTACTTTGTTTGTCCAATGTATGTTTTTAGTCCACACAAAAGTGTTCAATTGAACGAATTCAATTTCAACAGGTGAGACCAAAACCATATGAACATGCTAACGTGGCTTTATTAAGAACGAGGAACATGAAACAAGATGCAAGCACTGTAAAGTTTTAACTAACCACTGATATGCAAAGACAATAATATTATTGTTTGTCGATTTCTCAAGGGATCAGTGGAGATAGTTACCTCAAACAAAGAGAGCCCGTTACCAAAGATGAAATCCACAGAGCCTTCGATGTAACAATCTTTGTAATAATGCCTGCCTACGTGGTCATACAGCGTATCCTGTGCACCCAAGAATCTGCAACCCACAAAAACTGCTGTATCTGCCGATATCCTAAATGCAACAGCTTGCTTTCCAATGGCTCCTGGGGGTGGTACTGGAGTTGTATTCTGCATGCATTTTTTTTTTTTTTGGCAAATATTACGTGATCATGAGATTAAAATGTTAATTATGACTAGCCAATAACAAAAGAAGGGGAAAATGATATTACCTTGAATGTGATGTTCTTGGCTATGAAATATGGAGAATTCACAGCAAATGTTGCAGAAGCAAATGTGCCAAGAGGCTGGCCTTTTGCTCCGGGTGTTTGTGCTGTATCTCCCCATTGAACTATAGTTTTATCTGCTCCCGCTCCCTGTATGGTTATGTATGACTTCAGCTGAGGTATTGTAACCTTTTCCCTGGAAAACTCGCATTTTTGGGGGGGTCAAAAAGAAATGATCATTTGATGGAGAGAGAGCAACATGAAAATAATACCAACTGTGAAAAATGAGGAAGGATGAAAGAAAAGACGCATTTCAAAAACCACATGCAAAGTAGGTACCTGTAGTCAGGAAACCAGTTTGTAGCATATTGATCAGAAGCTAAAGGACAACGTGCAACAAACCGACATATTTCTTTTTCAATGGTGGCGAAATATAACAAAAACTTGAGCATGACTACCTCTTAAATGTACCATATTATATAGTAATGCACTATTTTCTCTCTTTCTCTCTTCTTGGTGGTAAAATTATGCATTTACCAAGCCTTGACAGAAAATACCACAAAGAACAGAGAAATGTATTGAGTATATCCTAAAACACTTACGTGTAAACACCCGCATGAACCTTGATCAACACTCTAACTAGATTAACAGTAGGGAGAGAATCAATAGCCTGCTGAATTGTAGTAAAGTCACCGTAGTTTGGATTTTTGTCGACCGTAAGAGTGTAAGAAGGGAAGAGCTTATTCTTGGCGGTCTTGAACACAGAGTGATTGAGGCTGCCAACAAAGTTTACCCACTTCATGAATTGTTGTTCAGAGTATTGGACTTGGGTCATATTCACTGCAAATAGCTTCCCTGAAGCTGTTCTTTTTGGCCTAATGCCTTTGGTGTGGCATACTACTGTATTGCTTCCATAGCTCAGAAGAATGAAAATGATAGAATGTACAAGAAGTTTAGAAGTGGGCATATCGATTGATCTCTACAGAATGAGAATGAGATCGAGAAGAGGAGAAAAGAAAAAGAAGGAAAAAAGCCGTACTAAGGAATGTTGTTTTGGGGTTAGGAAGTGCATTAAGCTGGCTCGTAAATTGGTTGTGTATATATATATATATATATCAGTACTACTTGGGAATTAGTGCTTAGTAGTAACTGCTGCTGCCTTTTCATTTTAGGTGGAAAAAGCGATGCTATATTTAGATGATCTTGACATGGAGTGAGAGGTCACGGGTGCCTCTAATTGAATCATTGTGGAATGTTGGGGAAGAACTAAGAAGGGGGAATGGTTGGGTTGGGGAGGGGGATCACAGGAAAACGATCTCAGACCACAAAGCGAGTCCTAGGGAGGCATGCACTTTTCGGCCTAACAAAAACGTTTCTTTCCGAGTTTTTAAAGCTCATTCAGAGTTGGTGGTGCCCGTGACTATCTCTATGTTTCCGTATGAAGCTGAACATATTCTGCTTTCAGAAATGACGTGTTTTTTGTGCAGCAGGGGAAGTGTTTTTTGTACTCTGTTTTGTTTTGTTTTTTTTTTTTTTTGTTATTTGCACTCTTACCATTTGTTTTATCATATAATCTAATATATAAAAAATTATATTATTAAAATGATAACGAGAGTGTGATAAGCAAAAAAAAAAATAGAAGTGTAAATAATATTTTTTGCGCAGTAATTTCTAATTAGTTCTATTCAACATATAGTACAGGGAAGGGTGCTTGCTACTGTAGTTGCCAAACACTCGAGGAAATGTGTTATGTGGGTTTCTATCTTTTGGTTTATATGCGTCACATATATTTGCTAACAAGTTCAAAAGCCAATATCGTTGTAGAAGTTTGTCAGAGAGAAGAAGACTAGAAAGAAAGAAAGAAAGCTATTAGAACAAAAATTTTCTTTTACAGGAGGGATTTTAGATTCTTGTAACATATACAAAAATCAAATTTTATATTTGAATAGAAATCATGCGTCATGTATCAACAAATGCTACTTTTGGAAATTTTTTTAGATGGCGCAGAAAAAATTAAGGGAAAATGGCTAAATTCGTCCCTAAATTTTTTATTAATGTCAATTTAATCCCTAACTTTTGTTTTCAGCCAATTTGATCCCTAAACTTATATTATGATTTCAATTAAGGATCTCTACGGCAGAATCACCACGGAAAATAGATTAAACTCCACATTGACCAATTAAACATGGGTATTTTAGGAATTTTTAGATATCCCCTTCCTCTATTATCAATTCCTACGGCCTACCAGCCACCTCCCCCTTCTACTCCTACCTTTCTTCTCCAACCTCTCCATTCCCTCCATCTATCATGTCCATCATCTTTGTTGCAGCCCAAAACACAATCCTTCTTACATTGAAGAAGAGGCTTCCTTTGTCAAAAGAGATAGCAGTAAAAGCTTCTCTCTTTCTTGCTTCTACACAACTATAGCCATGCCAAGTTCAAAGCAGGAATCAAGGTTTATCCCAAGCAGCCATCAAAATGACTTTTGTTGTGGTGGATGATGAGTGTTAGGCGAAGCCATGAAATCCTTGTTAGTTTCTTGGGAAATTTTGGCCTTGCTGAACTTGTACACTGCAAAAATAATATGGATACATTGAAATAAAGTTTTTCGTAGCTTTGGGTATAAGCGATACATCAAATCTTGCCTCCAGTTTTTACATATATCATGTTGTCTTGTAATTTGATTTTTGAATTTTGCCGGAATGTTCTTGCTATCTATGAACATGCCCTTTTTCTTCCATGGACGGAGGATAAAAATGAATTTAAAAAAAAAAGAGAATTTACTCTTCACTCTCCATCCAATCCACCATTTTTGGTACTGCTCCTATATTTGATTTTGTTAATATAATGCTTACAAAACTCAAATTACTACTACTACTTGTCTGTAGAGAATCACTGGATTAGATCCACCTTAATCAACAAAATCATTACTAATGATTACCAAAAAAACAACATACTTCATCATGTCTTGATCTTCACTAGAACAGATCCGATACTTACCCAACATCTAGATTTGGGGCATCATATGGTTTCGGCTTCACCCAATTCAAGGGAGTCTCTTTGCTTAGTTTTTGGAATATCTTGGCCCTCAAATCCCTCCCAAACTCTACCTTCTCTCCATCATTGGCTCCTCTTCGCACCCTTCTCCGTCCCAGAAGTCAAAGTATCGCATCTTGTTCCTGATCGATTCTTAGTTGCAAAATTTATAGAGATGACTGACATAACAGAGAGAGGAGCAAAAGATGTGGGAGAAGAAGGGTGAGAGAAGGAGGAGGTAGGTGGCAGGTGGTGGAAATTGATGGTGCAAGGAGGACATATCAAAAGTTCCTAAAATACCCCTGTTTAGTTGATAAATTAGGAGTTTGATTTATTTTTTGTGGTGGTGTGGCCGTAGAGATCCTTAATTGAAATCATAATATAAGTTTAGGGATCAAATTGGCCGAAAACAAAAGTCAGGGATTAAATCGACATTAACAAAAAGTTTAGGAATGAATTTGGCCATTTTCCCAAAAATTAATCCTAGAAATCTTTTTTCTTCTTCTAACCTCTTATTTGACACCCAATTGTTGTTCTATTGGGCCAGGTTGATGTCACATTGTGCAAATTCATATCTCACCTTGTAGGCCCATCGACCCAACTCTAATACCATTGTGGCAGCAATAGCATAGTGTAGAAATACCCAATTCACTCTCTCTCTCTCTCCCTCCCTCTCTCTCTTCTGGGTTTTTGAGTTTAGAGCCCAGAGGAAGGAAACCTTACATGTACACCTAATAGTGTGACAAGCACATATATTGTTTTACAAATGATTATACACTCGTGCGTATAAATACACATAGGATGTGTATAAAGATGCATAAGTTAAGTATTATTTTCAGGAGTCACGGTCCTCGTCACCACCTTCTATTACCATTTGATAAGAATACACTTCTCAATTCAATGCAACGTTGCTTTTTTCGCTCACCCCAAAAATCATATTTCTTTGCACGGAAAAGACATTTATGGAGTATTTTATACACATAACCCAAGATGCTATTCTTTCTTGACTCGTACCATGCCAAACATGCCAATTAGGATAAACAAGTAGAGGCTGCAAATCTAGGTAATCATTGTACGATTATGGGCAAAAGTTAAAAACTTGGATAAATTAGATCTTGTAAACTTAGTGATTCAAATTTTATCAAATATTTGAATATTTGAGCCGGAGAGATCGTACAGCAAATTTTAAACTACTAAATTTACATAGACCGGATCTATTCAAGTGTTTGTTCGGGCCAAATGCGACCAATAACATGAATTTAGCTTCATTGTCTATTTCTACATCAGTTGGCAACAATCAAAGCTCTAAAAGCGAAATAAATATATCAGGTTTTGGTTCGATGGGAACGGAATCAACATCAATTATTGAAAAGTTTACAAAAAAACCGCATCTTACCCTTTGTCCTTCCTCTTCCTTGGAAATAACATCCATCACCCCACCCTCCCATCCGCCTTGCCCCACTTGGAAATAACCTTAAAAGGACCGAAAATAGTAGTAGTCTCAGAATATTTCTTGCAGACTAAACCCTGATTTCCATCTTAGGGAGAGCTCCCAAGAAGCATCTACTATTTCGTAAAATTTGTTCCGACCTCTAAAACTGTAATGAATACGAACGTGATCTCAAGCTTCATAGCCATAGCAACTTCCATCTCCTTCCTCCTCCTCTCACCCCCATCAAAGTCCTTTTATCATTCCTTGTTCTTATCTGATTCCCTTTCATGCAATCAATCAATAGCAAACCACCTCTACATCCTAACCAAGCGGCCTCATGTTGCTGGGTCCGAAGCCAATGCCGAAGCAGCGGCTTATGTTCTATCCACCCTCACTTCCTATAAGGTTCGATCACATATAACAACCTATGAAGTTGCCTTAACTTATCCCATCTCACGTTCCTTGACCCTAAAACCTACTCCTCAAGACAGCCCCGTCAAGTTCGATCTCCACCAAGAGATTTACGACGGTGATCCTTATGCCGACGTGGCAGACGAAGTCCTACCGACGTTCCACGCATATGCCAAGTCTGGCACTGTAGCTGGACCCGTAGTATATGCCAATTACGGGCGCGTACAGGACTATGCTGTATTGAAGCAAATGAAAGTAAATGTGTCAGGGAATGTTGTATTGGCAAAGTATGGAAAGATATACAGGGGGGACATTGTGGAAAATGCTTATGCAGAAGGTGCTATAGGTGTATTAATTTACACAGATAGGAAGGATTACGGTGGAGTAGGTGATGCAAAATGGTTTCCTGATGACAAGTGGATGCCTTCAAGTGGAGTCCAGGTGGGATCCGTGTACAATGGGGCCGGTGATCCCACTACACCTGGCTGGCCTAGTTCAGGGTTGTGCGAGAGACTATCAGATGATGATGCGGAGAAAGGAGGAGAAGTTCCATTGATACCTTCATTACCTATTTCATGGGCTGATGGTGACAGAATCCTGAGGTCCATAGATGGACAAGTGGCAAATGACGATTGGCAGGGAGGGAAAGATGCTCCTGTCTACAAGGTTGGGCCAGGACCAGCAATTCTGAATCTTAGTTATACAGTAAGTCTCGAAAAACCAGCAAAATGTCGAATCTGTAGAGCTGAAACAGGCATGCAGTAACTAAGAAAGCCCATACCGTAAGTTTTGCAGGGAAAGCAAGTTATAACCACAATCCAAAATGTTATTGGAATCATTGAAGGTGTAGAAGAACCTGATAGGTAAGTTTGAATAATTCAAACATGCAATGTACAGCAAATTAATACGCATCTCTGAAACAATTCTGCATGATGAAATTGTCACGTAAGAAAATGACAAGCAAATTGTTATAGCAAGCCCTACAATAGAAATGATAGCCAAAATGAAATCATAATATTATTTTCCAAAAAACTGAGCCTGGATAAACAAAATCAAGCTTACCGAGTAACTTTCTAATGCTAGATTTTCCTCACACAGTTGAAAATTTTCTAGATATGTCATACTTGGGAATCACCGGGATGCATGGACATTTGGAGCTGTTGATCCAAATAGTGGCACAGCAGCCCTGCTTGAGGTATGTAAAATTTTGGTGCTTAAATCGTCTTAACATCCCTAGATTCAAATTCCAAGGAAAATAGCAGTTCAACTGATATTTTTGAGAGAGACAGGTTGCACACAGGATGTGGAAGCTCCAGGAAAAAGGTTGGAAACCTCGGCGAACAATTATATTTTGTAATTGGGATGCTGAAGAATATGGCCTGGTTTGTCTTTCGCTCCTCTCACTGTAGCACATTCACTCGTCCACATGCACCCCTGGCTCCTTTCAAATAACCAAAGCTAGAAAGAGGCTGTGTGAGCTCATACAGGCAGAACATATTTGTTGTTTTAACTGAATTATAAGCAGTTCACCATCTTCAGATAGGATCAACAGAATGGGTTGAAGAGAACAGGGAAATGCTAGCATCAAGAGCTGTAGCCTATATGAATGTTGATATTGCAGTTCAAGGATTAGGATTTTATGCCTCTGCAACTCCACAGCTCGATGAGCTACTAATAAAAGCAACTAAGCAGGTACGAAACGAATCTCAAGGGTTGGGGCAACAGGGTTTTACAACATTGCCATATGCATTAACAATGATTGCATATGGTTAATCCACGTAGAAAGCATCAAGTTTAAAAATATATATATAGAGGTGCAAATGTAGTTTAACAGCACAAGAATACCAGTCTGTCAAACTTCAAATGTCAATTTATGTTTTATCTTTCTATTCTCACTCAAATTAGATAAACTTCTGACTTAGGTCCAAGACCCGGATAACTCCTCGCAATCCATCTACCAATCCTGGATTCGCTCCAGTGAAAATCCTAAGGTAAGCATCTTAAGATAGTTTAAATAAGAAAGAGAATTGCGTAAGAGTTCTTAAATGTGAACCTTGGGGTTGTGGGAGCAGGGTAAACATTACAAGCACTGAATATATGGCCACGTCCTAGACCATTGTGCTACCACTTTGATTTATAATTTATCTTTACGAGATAACTCAATTGATGCTTTTCAACTAAGGCATTTAGCTACTTAGGTTTAAAATCAAACTGCCCCTGAATACCAAGAATTACTAAATCTAAAAGGTCAGCTTCTGGATTTCTGTGGCCTTGATAAGTGGCTTTTGGATTTCAATATTGACAAACTGACCAAAAGGTCTTTAAGATTGGAAGGTTAGGAGGAGGAGGATCAGATTATTCTGCCTTCGTTCAGCATGTTGGTGTTCCAGCTACTGATATCTCTTATGGAGAAGGTAAAAGGAATATATTCTGGCAATCTTTTCACAAAGCAAGAGATGCTTGCATCAATGGTTATTACGCAGATATCCAATTAATTTCACCTTAATGTAATTTGCTCTGTCTTTTCATTAATTCCTTCACATAGTAAGCTCCTATGTCATCTCCAAAACAACCCCCACCCCTCTTCCCAACCCCCCTGTCCTCTCCCCAGAAGGCAAAATAAATGAAAAAAAAAAAAAGCAGAATCTAATAAGACCACTGAGCATTCAAAGCAAAACCTCGTACCATAAAGCATCCTAAATAAATATATCAGAGAAATAAATAGAAAAACAATGTAAAAGCTCAAAACTTAAAGCAATTTTTTTCTTTTTAAGCTATTCATGATTCTTCATGGTAAGAATCAATGAAGGGATTTACGGACCATGCAAGGAAAATTAATTTTTGTATAGTAGGACTAAGAAAGCAGTAGCTTCGACATACATTAAGAACCAAAAAAAAACTTCTAAAAGCAAAATAATCTTACCATCATCTTTCCTCATAACAATTGGTCAGTGAGTGTGATGAAATTACATCAGCCAGTTCTCTAGCATCACTTATCATTTGTATGTATGTTCATTCTCCATAACGTTGTGTTATACCACTTGACTTTCATTACAAGAGAAATAATGACATTATACTCGTTAGGCTCTAAAGCAGTGTAGAATGATTACTTAAACAAATCACAAATTTAGAAAAGCACAAAATCTCCATTTCTCTAAAAGAACACCCAAGTATCATAGCTCTGGAGATATCGAGCATGTTAGCATATCTAGGCAAAAAACTTTATTTAGATCTGGTGCATAGTATGTATAACACGCTCATATCAATCTAACCAGTATAGTAACAGTGCTAGATCAGGATCAACTCAGTACATTGAGTTTCTTACCTTGAACAATAACCTATAAAGAACATCTTTTTTTAAAAATGTCATAAAAACAAGGGGAAGACAGCAATAGAAAAAGAAAATTACAGGATGAGTTGAGAATAAGAGTCGGAGTAAATGGTACAGGGACATCAACCACAATGTATCAAACATTTAAGAGAAAACAATGGTGTAAGATCAAGTAGAAGAAGAAGAGACAGATTTTTTAACAGCCTCAAAACAAGGTTTGCTTACCCATTAATTACATACCTCCTGACTAATACACAGGCCATCCATCCACTCTCTGCTGCTAATTGGCTAGGCTTAAAATTTTCATCTACAATCTGCACCAACTCTGAACAACATCAAATAGACACCACAGCCTAGAAATTAATCCAAAAGAATAGAGGGACCTGATGAAGATACAGATGCAAGATTGATAGGTCAAATGAGTACATTTTGCCAGATGTCTAGGACAAACTCTAATATACACTAAGATCATCATGAATCAAGTTAGTTGTGAAGATCAATGTATTTCCCCCACCCAATTACACTTCTAACGTTGCACAAAAGTCAAAACCTTGCCTCTCCCATGACACTCTTAGAGCATAAGAATCTCGACAAAATATAATTTGCAGAAGAAAACAAAATAAAATCAGAATCAGACCAATACACTGAGAATTCTAGCGAATCATCCAAGGCACAATGTTCTATTCAGTTGTCTTGACAGGCATGCATTCAGACAGATTCTAGCCAACCCTTTAACATCACTAGCATACAAAGAACTGGTAATGCCAGATGCATAATTATCATGGACTTAACTAGTTGCAATCGAGAAGCTTGTCTCCTTAAAAATGTGCATGACACAAGAATTAACATTTTTATTGAGTACCATCATCTTTACTTACCACATTACAAACACGTGTTGAGGCTGTGCAATCAGAGTAGTTCATAGTACAAGAATTAATTCGTATAGACATGACCCAGTTGACCTTAAAAGTACATCATGCATAAATTTTTTTTCCCTTAAGAAACATAGACTTATTATTTCCAGCACTAGAGATTCTCTTCCAGCACAAAATATATCATACTAAGCAAAAACGCTAGGCATACTCCTTTTTAAGAATCGGTCCAATTCTTGAACTTTATGACTTCTAACGGTTTTCAACTATCACTTGACAAAATTTGGTGCTTGTAGATTATCCAGTCTATCACTCAATGTATGATGACTTCATCTGGATGAAGAAATTTGGCGACCCAAAGTTTCACAGGCATGTAGCAGGTTAGTTATAATTTTCTGCTAGATAGTAGAATTTACTGCAATTGCATAGACATCTCAATGGCTTGTGAGATTAAAAGTTTCATCACATAATTGGGATGAGCTATCAATTAATCATCAGAAATGCCAATCTTACAGAATAGAAAGTCACAAAGAAACTCTTATGTTCAGTTGAAAACATAAATTAAGTTGATCCCGCTCAAATATTTCATAAATTCCCCACCATCCCCTTATTAGCAAATCAGTTAACATTTGGCAATGAAATCAAAAGTTGCAGGAATCACATGCATAATAAGACGGATAGTGTGCAGAGAAGTGCAAAAAATATATTATTTATTGGCCCTCTCCAAATGAAATTTCTTAGTTCAAGCGTCCATTTGGCTAAAAGAGTTCCTATAGAAGCAGGGTCTAAAATCAACATGGAAGAAAAACAACAAGACCAGGTTTCATTTATCAGGCATTCAAAAAATAATGCATATTACATGGAAACCCAACAAAATACTGAAAAACATTAAACATAGCAAAACACAGATTCATTTAACAGACAGTATTCAGCATAACTGACAGAAATACTATGTTGGAGAGATGTGTTAAAGGAGGAGGAAGAAAAAGAAAATTGCAAATAGGAAGAATTAAGATAAGGCGACGAAAAACTGACGGGCATAAAGGTTTCGAGCAGCAAGAAACAACAATAATTTATCCAATAGAGCCAAGAAACATCATAAGAACCTATGATTGTTTAGTTAGATGAACAATGTCAGAAATGACAACGAAAATATGACTTAATTCAAAAACTAAAAAAAAAAAATCAAATACAGAAGCTTACTGCTTGTGTCAGACACTACAGACACTTTCAAGGCACTGAAGGGAACTCAAAAGTTTCAAAAGAAATGAAAGATTACCTTAGACAAGTCATTGCATACTCAAACACTTGCAGGACACATCTCACCAAATATTAAAATTGAGATAAATTTTCATGTATAAAGAAGAAACTTTTCATAAAAAATTTGGTAGCATGAGTAGTACACAGTAAAATTAGAATACGAACCTGTATCGAATATATCAAGTATCTGTTTCAGGCATTTGACAATTGACATGGATAGATACTGAATCAGACCCCTCTAATATGTTTTAAACCTAAAACAGACATCTTCTAACTCCATGTTATAGTAGATCATGCATATAGTGCTCCATGACACATGACTGCTCCACAACAAGTACCATTATTGTATGATTAAATCGTCACATTTCCTAATCTTCACGGAAGGATATAGGAGAAATAAGATGCTTTAAATCATGGTCTATATCGCATCAATGTCCATGAAAGATATTAAAATTTCAGTCAAACAAATATAGTCTCACAAAGATTAGCTGCATTACGTATACATAGTTATTGCTCCATCATCACTAAATATACACATATTGTGATGCAAGAGCAAATTTAATATACAGATGTTGCTAGAGACGGATTTGTTATTCTATACCACTACTTCTATAAAAAAAATTCCTTCAATTGTGTTTTCATTCATGTTGTTTCCTATCATCCATTTTCACAAAAGAGACGAAAGTTCACTCAAACAACCTAAACCATTAGAAACATAGCTGCATTATGTACACAAATATTGCTTCATCATCAGTCACTGTTACAGTGGCTCGTGTGATTCAACAGCAAACTTACATTGTTATAATGCTACAGGTAGATTTGTAGCTCCAGATATGTAATACTTAATATAAAAAAAATATACCCTTTAGTTGTGTTTTCAATCCTGTTGTTTTCTATCATCTATTTTGTCCAACACAATTCTACTTCAGCAGTTAAATCTTTTCATCAACTTGTTTCTTTTTGTGTACGAACAGTGACAAGTATTTGGGGTTTATTAGCACTTCAGCTTGCTGATGAAGAATTTTTACCTTTTGATTATCTGTCCTATGCCAATGAGCTGCAGGTATGTTTCCTATAGTGGAGAAATGAGTATAATATACCTGCTTCTACAATTGAAAGTAATCTAATCTTTTGATTGTTTGATCCTGTAACTAGAGAAGTGTGGAAGAGTTGAAAATTGAGTTGTCAGAAAAGGGCATAAAACTATTTCCCTTATTTAACTCTATCAAGGAACTGAGAATGGCAGCAACTAAAATTGCTAATGAGATAAAGGTACATCTCCAGCTCTATTAGTCAAAAACTTGGTAGAGATCTCTAAGTGTGCTAAATTTTATTGATGGAAGCACAATTCATTAGGTGCTACAAGACAGAAATGTTTGGGCTTCTGTATCAAAAAATGACCACTACAAAGTAAGAGAATTGAATGACAGACTAATGATGGCAGAGCGATCATTCACAGACCGCGAAGGACTTCCTGGAAGGACATGGTACAAGCATTTGGTAAGCTTCTTTAAATCACCTGCAAGTGACCTTGTTGTAGCTAATTAAAAATTCAGTTAAGTGCTTGTTATTTCACCTTGATTGAAGGTTCTTATTTTCTTCCATTACAAAGCACAAAAATGACATCAACTTAGACCAAAGAATTTCAGGAAAGAATAATCACAAAAGCATTTGGAACATCTAGTATACCAAAATGCGTGCAGCTGAAAATGACACTTTTGATAACTGAAACCAAATACTGACTGATGCTTTATATCATTCAGATATTTGCACCATCAAAGCACAATGATTATGGTTCTAAGTACTTCCCTGGAATAGATGATGCCATCGAAAAGGCCAAGAGCATTAACACCACAGACTTGTGGCTTGCAGTACAGCATGAAGTCTGGAGAGTATCTAGAGTGATTAAACATGCTTCACTGGTCCTCAGTGGTCAGTTAACATGACTACCGTCATCTTATACCCCTAAATTCCACGTGTGTATTCGCTATTAATAATAAAACAATTGGGTGACATCTGGTGGACTTGCTTTAGTTCAAGACAGAATCTGGGGATTTTATATTGCATTTTGTTTTTTTTCTTAGGTATACTATTGACTGTTCCTCATTTGACTCACTAATGGTTAGGAAAAAGAACTTGATGGTCACAAAGGGAGATAACCTGTAGTTAAGCTAAACATGCAAACGCCCAACCTGAGACCATTTCTAATAACCATGTAGTCTAAGTCCTAGCTGCATGATACAAAATTCCAACATAATTTCTCAGGGAAATGATTGGCAACTAAATATTTTACAGTTTATTCTTGATTTCTCAAATTTGGAAAATCAGTCTATTGGTTTGCATCCATCTGAAGTGAAATTTTCAAGATCAATACCACAGACAGGCTTTCACAATGCCTCAAAAATTTCCATCCATCATTATGGCAGTTATATCAAACGGGAGATAAATCCAATATTTAAAGAACTTCATAGTGGTTGAGCAAACAAAATACTACCTAATCCTTTTAACAGCACTATAACAAATTCTTTTAACAGTTTCACAGTTGAGCCAGTAATGTGGCCTAGGCCAACAAATAAGAATTAAAGTTTCACAATTAGAGGTCTAAATGGAGTACAACAGTTTGACATACTGCAGTACCAAGCTAAAGGAAAGTTGGATGTCAACACAAATGAAAGCATTATTTCCATGCAAAAAGAAGATATACATGTCACAATAAGCTCATAAGCTGTACAACTAAAGCTAGGTTAGAAATGTAAAGCAGTTAGGAACACAAAAATCTGTATTTCAGATTTGGTAAATACTGTACAATTATTTCTACTGAACCTACAATATATACAATGAACAACAGTTATTTCCGAGTCCTCTACTTCCAAACCTTAATTGCACCATCCCTACTGCTCGAAATCAGAAGCCTCTGGTTCAGCTTCACAGAAGCCAAAGAGAGGACAGAATCACGGTGACATCCTGCAGAATCAGTGGCAGCACCAGCAAGGATAGTCTTTGTGGTCAATCTCATTGTCAAAGGTCGTCTTCTGCCCTCCTGTTTGTAAAAAAGATCAATATAAATTAGTAGGCCATCATCCCAGAACATAAGTGAGGGGCTATTGCTCGTCCAAATGCAGCTAGGTAAGTTTACAATCACAGGCAAAAAGAAGAAGCGATAGAGAACCATTGAACTAAAGAAAATCTTCAGTTTGAAAATGTACGACATTTGAATCCAACACTACCCCCCCCCCGGGGGGGAGCCCAACCATCAGTCCAGTTTTCTCCTCCCAGGCATGGCCCAGGATTTTAAACTAGTACCTTTACAATGAGAAGGGAAGAAACTTCTCAAGGATTGCCAAAAAAAATACAACTTAAGAGTCCCTAATAATTCTGAATAGAAGCCTACCCAAATTTTCAAGAACTTCATTAGAAACAATTCATGTCCCAAGTAAAAAAGAGAAACAAATCATGATGATGCCATTAACATACCTGCACAACTTGCACACCATAGTAAGACTTTGTCTCAAAACTATCATCATTTCCAACTCCCTTTATAGATGGTCCACATACGCAATAACTTCGATCAGGGCTGAAGCATAGATATACAAGGGTCAATAGAATTGCAATGACTGCCCAAATGCATAAAGAAAATTGGAAAATGTACCTGGAATGGTCCCAGCGACGTATTTTCAAGTCAGTACCCCCTGTCAATAGATCCCCACCTGGCAACGGAAGTAAAGCACGGATGCCAGGAAGACGTGGAGGTGGTTCATTCAACTCATCGATTCTATATTTCGAATTAGCACTTACCCTGATATCCGATTTGGCATTGCCCTTGCTGGATGCTCTGGCTAATGCCCAAGGCGAGTCAGAAATTTCAGCATCGGTCTCATTATTTGCTACCCTCAACACCTGCAAAAAGCAGAATAAGTAGCACAAAAATCCACCAGTATAAAAGCACGAAATGTTATTGCAGTGATTGAACGACAGGTGCCAACTGCTCATTCCATTCATCAGTCTAACTACAATATCGGGGTTTCGTATATCTTATTCGAGTGAATTTCACATTTAAAATCTAATTGTCTGTAACTTCCAAAGTATCCCAGCACAACAAGTATATTCTCTCAAAATTACTCCTCAGACGTACATTATACTTCCCCCTCCAATCCTTCTGTATCTCCATAACTAATCATCCCTCCCAAGCATGCATGGTTACCAGCAAGAAAATCTATATGGATCATATTCTTTCTAAAATACAACATCACATCAATCAATTTAACCACATTCAGTCAAATTTCACTCTTTTGCTAGATTCTTTACTATTTTGTAAAAAGTACAAAGTGATCCAACTGTACCTGATGGCAGCTTCCATTTTCTGCATTCCAAAGAGAAACTTCATTACACCCTGCTGCAACATAAACAAGAGGTCTGGTAGATAGGAAGAAGGAGGTACTAGGAGGAGGAACAAAAAGGCTCATTTTCTCAATTGGGCATGCAAGAGAATACTGCCATGAATTGACAGGTATTCCAAACCTCAAATCCCAAAGGGTAAGCACGCCTCTTGATGACCCAGTGACAAACCAGTTCCCACAAGGATCTGCAACCAGAGAAGATACATAACCCTCCTCAGGGACCACTTTTGAATTCCAAACATTTGAACTTGTTCTTGTATCCCACAGATGAATTCCACAATTCTGGGTACTGTACAAAATCATTTTGCAAGCACCACCATCAGGGGAGTAGTTCAAAAGGTTTAATATAGCACCTTCTCCAACTCCGTTCTTTTTAACATCAGCTATGCCTGAATATTTCTCCACAACATTGCCCAGACCCCCGGATACGTAATCAACAGAGAACATGTGTATAGCTCCATCACAAGCTCCAACAACAACTTGAGCAGAACCCTGGATCACAGCAACACACAGTGCTCGACTTCCATCTAAAGAATAAGTTAGGCGCGACCTGAATGAGATATCTTTTTCTAACCTTTTAGAATCCCAAAGTTTAACAGTAGAATCTTCAGATGCACTTACGAAAAAGCTATGGTCAGTGGAAACAGCTATGTCATTAACAGCAGAGTGGTGATCCTGGAGATGCGCAACCAACACCCCACGAGGCCTCCACCCTGAATCTGGAATCGTCGATGTTCGCCCAAAAGATGGTACATCTGCACCCTCACTTGAAGCAGAATTACTTTCAATTGAAAGGGAACTCCCTTTTGTTGTGCCAGACACTCCCATTTCCAGAAACTTGTTATTTACAAAGGCTGTTTGATCCATTTCCCTGTCTTCAACTTCATGTACAACCCTTCGCAATTGTGTGGAACCACCACCAATGCTGATTGAGCCTGAGATAAACTTAGGAGCTGGATCTGAATTGGCCAAGCTAAATGATTTACTAACTGGATCCATCCATGGCAAGGATGCAGAACCAAAACCTAAAGAACCACATGGTAATGATGAATCAGAGACTGTTGGAGAGCCTGCAGCTCGTTTGTTATCAACTTTAAAGTAATACAAAGGAATGCCTTGTGATGATTTCTCCATTAAACTGTTCATTCCACTAAGAGGTGGAGAGATAAAACCGGGCAGCTGCAACTTTTCAGAATCCAGGAAGTCGCCAGAATCCATAGCCATAGGACTTTGCACTGAGTTGCCCACAACTTTTGAATTCTGGTCATTATCATTACAATCTGCAAGATCCAGAGGCAGATTTGCACGTTCAACAACTTTATTGCTCTGAAGATCTCTTTGTCGGTCAGACCAGCACATCATTGGATCCAGCTCCTTCACCCCTCTCTGAAGAAAATCCACTGTTTCCCAATTTTTAGCCTGTGAGTCACTGTTGTACCATATTTTTCGCTGTCTCTCCAGCATGTCTGAGCTCCTGGCACTTTCTAAAACACGATAGTATCTCTCTCTTGACACTGGTGGCTCTAGGCATGAAAAAAGAGCCTTTTCTGAAGCTAAAGATGCTGGTTGTCTACGCAGGAAGGTGCGTATAACAGGCACAAGGAAAACATATGAATCTACTGCACCTAAACTCTCGCTGCTAGCTGCAATGAATGTGACATCGGCCCTCCTGACCCATTGACTAGGATAACACAACAGTGGAAAAGCGTGTTCTATCATCTCAAGCAAGATTCTCTTCCTTAGAAATCCACTTTTGCATAAAATAGCTAGGCATTCCAGAGCATTCACAATTACAGCCTCAGTTACATCACTTAAAGCCTGCTCAATGTATGGCAAAAGATATTCCTCGACACTCCGTTGTCCCACGAAAAAGCAGACATATATGATCTGTCCATAAAACACTGCCCTGAGTTGCTCATCCCGGTCATTTAGGAAAGCTGGGAGGATGGGCAACAAGAAATCATTACTCTGCCTCTGGCCAAAAAACCAACAAAGATTGCCAATGTCATGCAGGAGTGCTCTCCTGATATTTGGTGTTTGCTTTGGGCCCATCACAAGTTCTTGAATGACATCCGCAATAGACTTCCTTAATTGCACAAGCTGTGCATCACTATTTGGACTGTATCTCCTTCCAGATGTATCAGAGGATGTAGAGAGTGACTTCTGTGGCGAACTTGATTCACTGAGAACTCCTGCCTCACTCAAGCTTATAGAGTGAATCAAAAACCCATAAGCAGTAAGTGCCAGCTTAGATATATTGCTTGCATAACATATCCTTACACTTTCCTCTGGATCATCAGGGAGCATGGAGAGCATTGGAAGAATATACTCGGGAAAAATTTTAGCATCACTGGGTGGAAAATCTCTGACTAAGGGAAGAATGTCACATAAAGTCTCTAGGGCAGCACAACGCACAATTGCAGCTGGATCTGAGAGCATTGCAATGACATATGGAAGCACACGCTGCAATCGATCTTCATCATCAATGTATAAGGAACACGACTTCAATAGAAGCACAGCCCCTCTCCTCATGAATGGCAGTTTGACATTTCTTATGCAGGAACAGAGCAATGAGGCAATCAGAACCATACCTTCACAGCTCATGATATCTTGAGGTAATGGTAGAAAAGGCATACCAAAAGTGTCTGACTGGTTGTCATAATCCGACATTAATGAGTTCAAATCACTTGTTGTTATCTTTTTTAAGAAGGGATGGTGACTTCTGTTAAATATATTAGAGATACTCTGAATCAGCTCATCAGGAGATTGCACATCACACTGCTTTCTGTTTTGAGAATATGCAGATCTAGCCACACCTTCCAGCAACGGTTTCATGCTATGAAATCGATTATTTTCCTTTACATCCCTGAGTAGATTACCAACATCACCAAGAAGATCAAACCTATCATGAATTGAGCCCTTATCCACCTTTTCTCTTTTACTACTGGTGTCCTCCACATTTGTATTATGTTGTGCATCAGTCCCATGGAGAGATTGATGCATAGCATCTAAAGAAAGCGCCTCCCCAGAAACAGTCTCCTTGACTACACTACTGCTCATCATTTGTCTAAGAATCTCTTGAAAAGACGTCTGGCATATTAAAACCTACACCAAGGAGCTTTCTAAATAAGCTTGAGCACAGCGTAATTATCACCAAGATAAAGATCAAGCACCAAAAATACCTTACCCTTGCATCAGAATTAAGGGGATTCAACAAGGAATAGAAATTGTGGAGAAATGGAGAGAAGTAGCCAGGAAACACAATGCCAGAGAAGTTCTGCAGATAGCTTTCAGCAGAAAAACGTGCCTCCGGATCCAATTGAATCATATGAAGAATCATCTTGCGGATTCCTGAATCTGGAATCTTTATGCAGACAAGATAAAGACCAAAAATAAAAGTTAATTTAGAGATTCAATAAACACTCTAAGTGGACTAGTAGGCAAACACTTCAACCTATATAGTGAAGTCAATGTTCCATGAAATTTCTTGAAAGAGATTAATTGGGAAAATATGATGATACAGGAAGAAGCAGAGAAAGGTCCTTTGGTTAGAGCCAAGTTAAAATGGCATTGACTAGATCTTACTTTTTCTAGATGTTGGCTAGGATCATATTGTCCTCTACGATAAGCAAGCAGTTGAGACAACTCAAACAATGGCTGACCCTCGAGGAATAGCTCAGCTATTACACACCTGAAGCAAGAACATGGAATTGAAGAAAAGTGTAAATCCATTGTATCACAAGGCAAGAGCTTATTGCCATATAGATAAAGACATCCTCATCAAAGATTTGTGCCTCAACCATAAAAGCAACCATCCAAAGCCAAAAAAGTCAAGAAAATTAGTTTGTGAACTGCTTTGTATAACGTAAAAAGAGAACCTCTTGACCCAACCAATATGTATATACCAATAAAATGTAGCAACTAAAGCAAACAAAACTTAAAATAATAGACCACAACTGGATTGCTTGGATGAAATATGTAGAAATGATAGTAATTAATTTGATTGTGCTCTAACATGAACGCTCACTTGAAGGCTGTACATGATTATGCAAGCCCAATTAATCTCCTATACACTAGCAGTGTCTGTCAGGCCTGGATGCATGACAACTAATTTTAATTTCAATTTGAAATCCAAGTTTTACATGGCAAGCACCCAAGGCCAACAGTGCATTCATTGTCGGTGCATATAAGATTAATCCATAGACAAGAGCTAAAACAAATGCTATTGATCTAGAACCCTAATCTTTTTTTCAGAAATACCAATTTGATTACCACATGATATAGAAGTATAAGTTATTGCAAAGAACTTTGGTTGTTTATGGACTCCTGCAAAAGCAACCGATGTGAAGCGCATCACATTCCTTGAATGGGTTTGGGGCAATTTCATTACTGTTGTTGAGGAATAAATCATTGATCTACTTGTAGGATTTGATACAAAAGGTAAAAGAATCTTTACCCAATTTTATTAAAGATCTATTGTCACCAATGCACTGTATTAAACAAAGAATCTCACAGACCAACATAGTCCTACTACTTTCACATACTTCATCCATGTGGGCCAATTACAAGTCCCAACCACACTTTAGTCAGCCCCCACAAAAAAGAACACATTTTTTTCTCCATGTTTTGACTTAGTAAGGTGACAATGTTATTTGGCTATTTGCACAACAGCAAGATCGTCAAAACAAAAGATGAACTTGCACAGCAAGCTAAAAGCTACAAGATGTGAGTTCAAGGAAATAACCTGTTCGAGCTTGCCAGATCAAGTCATTCAAAGTAACAGGCAGAAAGAGGGTAGAAAATGATACTGTTCATATATAGTGCAAAGTCCAGGATGCCAGAGAGATACAATCATCTATGTCCAATAAGAAACAATGATTCCCACTCACACAAACGATTTCAGACAAGTTTCTGACACATATCAAGCTCAGATCCAGAATTCCATCAAAAGATGAAATGACTATTGTTTTAAAAATGTAAAGCAAGACACAAAAGTAGAAATTTTATCATATAATAAAGAAAGACAAACATGTGATACGAACATCTATTTAATAAAATATCAATAAGACAAGCAATGTTCCTTAGATGGAAAAACAAATCCTGGATCAAGAAACATCTTATTGTTAAGTTAACATAATCAGATACTTTACTTCCAAGTTCAGGTTCTTATAAAACAATGAGTGATATTTATGCTCAAGCAGCATATGCAGGTATAAGTAAATTAAAATTTCAGGACAAACAAAGACTTGCACAAGGAAAAAATTATTCTTTCAAAATGGGAAAGAAGGTCTCATCATATCTTCAATTCAGTAAATTGCAATCTAGTGTGTGCATTTGTGTATTTCAATTCGCATAAATAATTTTAAAAGCATGTATAACTTTAGTTAATGCCACTTCTCATGTACTGGGAAAAGCGCATTTACCACCTTTAGGCATCACATTAGATTTCTCAAGCACCACTGCCCATGCTTTTACAAGACAACAACCCTCTTGGCACTAAAACAAAAGCAGTGCAAGGGGCTAATATAGGACAATTTGCAGCAGAAGGGGCACTAAACTTGTTAGTGATATAGGCTGAAGCCAAAGAGAAAATCTAGAACTTAAACAATAACTGGGAAGTAAAGGATTCTGGGTCAATTGATAAAAAATTAGCATAGGCAGCAACAATTGTCTTTTGATAGTATTGCAAAAGAAAAGACCCACATTGACCAAAATATCAACTGTCACAATACATGTTGCCACTTTCAAAACAATTTCCACTTATCTGCACACTGACGTAAACATGATTCTACTACTATGGAGCATTTAAGAAGCAAATGCTCCTTGAATACCAAAACTTCAAGAACCAAAGAGATAAATTATTTACAGTGTATTTTTTAATAAAGTAATCTTCAATTCCAAATTATCAGCTCAAATGCCAGAAAACTCACCCTACAGCAAAGATGTCCATTGATGGTTTTAATGGTGCATCTTGAGCAACTTGCGTTTCACCTCCATGCCCATAAAATCTCTGAAAAATGAAAGAACTTCTATTAGCAAGTATAGACAAAAGGCAACTGTCACATTCAGTAAATGCAATTCTCTCTCTCTCTCTCTCTCTCTCTCTCTCTCTCTCTCTCTCTCTCATTTTCTTTGTAGAAAGGAACTTCTAATATTTTACAGTCTAGTTAACCATGCTATAAATAACCAATTTTCCATTTGAAAGAGGAAAAGAATCAATCAATACTTGGTAACAATTTGATGATCATGCGTCATGAATGGTCAACATAGGATCAAAATTAATCTCCAGTCCGAATTAGTCTTACAGGGGATGATAATTTCGCTGAATGTGACCATTCAGGTGATCCATACTTCAGGTTTTGGATTCTTCTACAAGACTTTTGTTTTTGCTTTTTATTTTCTACACTTCCTAATGCATTTTGCTTCCCATCATCATTAGCATAATGTTTATGTCCTTTCTGCACTATAAGAAACCTAAACATATGTTGTTGTACCTAACAGACAAGGAGAAAAGAAAGTCCATTTATTTGTCTTCTTATATCCATCCATAACCTTATCACAACTGTGATCATGAATCCAATAAAGCTTACAAAGGCAGCTGCACAAACTAAACATAAATGGTCAGGGCTACCAAGAAAGTTGTGAAAATTGAAAAACAATATTTATGGACCAAAAAGTTGGAGAACAGTTTCCTTGTTTTACCTTAATTGGACAAAGGGAGAACTCTGAAGTAAGAGATCTAGATGTCAATAAAGCAATTAATATGAAATGTCTGTAGTAATGAATTTCAATTTTGTCAAGGGGGCGAAAAAACACACAGTTACGTAATTGCACATAGATTCAGCAAGGGTGTCATTTAGTAATTGTCATGGTAAGTGCTGTTTCCTTAAACATAAATAAGCCGTCTGCCTTACACAAATGGGGGAAATTGTGAATGTTTAGAAAGTTCATCTTCAAAAGGACGAGGAGGAGGAAGCAATATTTGGTTGTTACTAGTTGTCAGGCAAATTAAGAAAACCACTCCATCGAACTAAAAGAATCACCAATAAAGCTGATCAAGATAGTCAAGTACTTTTATTGTGAGTTAAGCTAGTGTCTTTGAAAAGAAATACAACAAAAAACTCATTCTAGCACTATGTATACAGACAACCAAAATTAACTTTTCATCTGAAATTGGATCTCACCAGCACAAACAAATAGGAAGCAGACAACATTCTCCAGAATACACCAAAAAGGTCATTCTTCTAGGGCACTTCTTACAGAAAATAAGAAGTTACTTCCATTAGTCACCAAAAGGAAAGAAGTTGACTCATATTAGAAAGGCCCTTTTAAAAAATGAGAAATATGTGTTGTTAACTGCATAGTGTTTCCCCCTATCTTTATGTTTTATGACACCAGCCAACTGAAAGGTTGAAAATCAGCCACTCTAATCAAACAAGCAATCCATTAACAATATGAAAAATCATGACAAGAAGTTCATATATCTAGCAAAACTTCTCTGCCAGGCAATTTTATACATGTCCTCCCAGACCCGAATAATCAAAAGCATTTGTTTGGATTGAGATGATTTCAGATAAAATAATTTGCTTCACAAATTCCAATTACCTTTTTATCTCACATACATCACATCATAAAAAGTGCTACAGTAATTATCTCAAATAAATCATCCAAATAAACTCCTATCCAAACAAACCCTCATAACTAGAATCCGAATTTATGTCATTAAGCAAAAACCAGAAAGGTACAATCATAAAGCAATGCGCCAATGAAAAACTTAGCAATTCAAAGTAACAGAAGATCTAAGCAATTTTATGATAATCTCAACTGTATCACATTCTAGGCAGGATATTGCCAAAATCCCAAGGCTTATGGGATGCTTTAAATTTGTATTAGCATTAACCCCTATAGTACTAGGACGAAAAGTTTAATTTGAAGTCAAGAACTAGAAAAGCTCAAACTAAAATATTATTTCCCATCCTGCATATGTTAACATAGATTTTCACATAAATATTAGATGAATTACAAAATTAAATTAAATTAAGCTTATCTTGCTAAATTTCTGGTTGGGAAAAAAAAAAGATTAACTAGAATAAGAAACCAACCTCAGGAGCAAGGTAACACCGCCTTCTTCCACCAGTGTCAAAGAAAAACGAAAAATCAGAAGGATCATCATGTGGAATATACGTCGGTTTGAATGATGCAAAATCAGCAAGATAAAGCCAGTTCCAGGAAGTAACCAGAACATTCTCACACTTAATATCACCTGCATCAGATTAAATTAAGTTACTTCTTCCTAAGAATCAATATAATGTTGCTAACAGAGGAGATTAAATTTACACTTATCTTACCATGACAAACTCCATTTTCATGGCTCTGTTTTACAGCATAAAGCAGCTGCAAGACGAAAAATTTCATTAAGCCCTAACTGCAACTAAAAGACTAACACTGCAATGAGAAGAAAGAAAGAAACCTGAAAAGCCAGCCATTTCTTCTCAACAAGACTGAGGAAAGGTCGAGTGCTCAGCCGATCATGAAGATTATTAAAAAAGTATTGTCTCAACAAGTAGGCAGCTTTGTCAGTTTCAAGCCAAAACTGCAGCATACAACATTTGCAAAATAAGACCATTTTAAGCCACCAAAAAAGCAAGAAAACAAAACAATCATAAAGTCTTAAACTCCTTAAAGCGACTAAAAACCACAATTATTCAATCATTCAGAAGGATTCATCAGTCAATGAGACAATTAAACATCTAAATGTAGATAAAGTAAAAGCCCTCCTTTTGGTGTCAACAATTACTGTCAGTTTCTGTCACACCAAAACTGCCCTTTAGAGTTAGTATAAAACTGCTCAAATCTACCTTCATTTTACAATCATGATCTCAAAAACAATAGCTTCATTTATTAAGAAAAAGAAAAGGGCAATATAACCATAGACTTTCCAGCAAGCACAGGCATAGGATATGCCATATACACTAGTCACCAGAAGTATTTTTGCCTTTCTTCATTTTCAGTCGAAACTTCAGGGAATTCGAAACCTAAATTCATGGTCATCACCTAAACACATTCCTACCAAATGTAAAAGGAAGAGAAAAAAAAAAAAGAATGCAAAGTATTTCCATCAAAGTATCAGCCTCGTGGTGCCCCCAACTTCCAATGAAAAAAACAATTTCAGACTGACATGAATGATTTACAAATTTGTCTTTATAAACCTTCAATTGGTAGCATAAACTAAAATTATTTTAAATAAATACTACTTTACAAACACTATTTTTCCCTGAGCTCCACTTTCTCCTAATACCCATATTGGTAAACCATAATTCTACCTAGCTTGTAACAAAGTAACCGGGAGAAATTCAAATAGCAGCATCACTTTGATAAAGCATTAATCTGATGCAACTCATTTCCGCCACTGATGTCCATTGCTTTTGGCAATCCCAAAAGGAACACTAGTTCCCATAGCTCGACTATGAACACGAGCTTAATATTTACTTCTGGCCCTTTGCTTACTACATATTACGCTCTCATTTAACTGCTTTATAAGATGCTGCAACCAAAAATTAAAATGCAACCCTTTTATTAAATATGCTTCACACTACAATTTCTCTTCCACGTTCTTCTAAGGAATGAAGTACTAATCTCGGCAAGGGTGATACCAATTTTAGCCCTATCCTCAAACTAAAATACAATTAAAATCAATTCACAAATATCAGTGCGAAGGTGCATTTATGTACAAATAAATGTACTTCAGAGTAAAAGTAGAGGCAGACCTGGAAGGGCCAGACATGAGGGTGATCGAGGCCAGTAAATACACCGTGAATTTGGGAGAGGCGGCGCTCGTAGTCGCGTAAGTCAATGGAGTCCCCTCTTTTGAAATAAACCTTGACTAGCACAAGTCCTTCGTCGTGCTTGCACAGGATCGATTTCAGGAATCGTCCTCGGCCTAAGACTTCTTTCAATACTAAATTATAAGAAGACGGTAAATCGTGCAGGTAATACTCCGTCGCCGAAGCTTGCGTTGTTCGCGCGATTTTATTCCCCATTCTGAGCTTGTGTTGTTTTCCCTCTAAGCGTTTGAATTAGCTAGGGTTTTGTTTTCTGTTTTGCTTTTAATTGTTTCTTTCACATTGGGCAGGTCGGGTTTAACGGTGACCGAAGCGCGGCAGAGAGGGGGATCGGAGGCGGAGGTGGTGATGGGAAGGGACGGAATGGGGGGAGCTGCGGTTGCGTGGGACTGTGTGGCGGAAGCAAGGTAATGCTACTGCAGCGGATCGTTAATTTTCCAGTGGTTTATTGCCATGTCATCAACGATTTGTTTTCACGTCTTGCACAAGATTGTGAAAAAGCGTGGCCGTAAACCATTCAATGGAAATTGCATTTTCTCACGCTTTTCACCACTCCATTTTTTTCTTTTTTCTTTTTTTGAAAAAACCAGTCAATGCTCTTTGCGGATAAATTTTGGCTTTTCCTTTTGTTGTGAAATCTGTTTTATCGAGAATGCTAGCCACCTTACAAAAAAAAAAAGGGCAAAAAATCTCAGCGGCCATTAAACTATTGACGGAATCATATTTTGGCCATCGAACTATTTTTTGTCAATAATTAGCCACTAAACAATTTAATCCGTAAATCCATGACCATTTCGTCGTTAATTGCTCTTAAGTTCTGAAATTAGCATTACACGTGTCAAAATGGAAGGACAATTTTGTCCAACAACTATGCGACCTTCTTCTCCCCTGAATTTCTTTCCTCAAACAAGCTCTGGACTTCATACATGAAATTGGTTGGCTTCTCCGTAGAAGTAAGTTGAAGTTTAGATTGGGTTTTCTAGATCCCAACTTGGATACATTTCTCTTCTAGCGTTTCAGATGGCTTATAGAGTTCTCAGTCAAACATGACTGGTGTGCAGTGGTCAAGATGCTTTTGAATGTTCTGGTCATCAAACTCATGGGTGAAGAAAAACGCTCTTCAATTGAAGATGCACTGCTGGAAAATGGGTTGCTCCATAAAGCTGTTCGACGAAATTGTAGGTCCATGGTTGAAGTCCTCCTAAGATACCATCTAGATGCAGATCTGAAAAAATCAAGTCCAATCTGCTATGTATTTAGACCGATGTCAAAGGCCCTGGGGGCTTGACTCCTCTGCACATAGCAGCCGGATGCGACGGAGCTGAGCAAGTGCTGGATGCATTAACTGATAATCTTGGACTGGTACGGCTCTTCTTAATATGCATACTGTTATTAGCGGAACATTACTTTTGGAAATGGAAAAATAGTGCTCAGATCCCTCAGTGGAAAAATACGGCCTTCCTATTATCTTTAATTTGTGGTTGAAGATTTGGGACTCCCAATTGAGTCCATATTTTTTCCACCACATAATGTTCCATTCGGTGATTGTCTGAGGAAAGAAATTCAGGGGAGAAGAAGGTCGCATAGTTGCTGGACAAAATTGCCCTCAGGCATTGCCACGTGTAATGCTAATTTCAGAACTTAAGAGTAATTAACGACGAAATGGTCACGATTTTACAGATTAAATTGTTTAGTGGCCAATTATTAACAAAAAATAGTTCGATGGCCAAAACATGATCCCGGCAATAGTTTAATGACCGCTGAGATTTTTTGCCAAAAAAAAAAAGCATTGACTTTAAAAAAAAAAGAGAGAGAGAATGCTAGCCACCTTCAAAAGAACAAAAAAGGATATAAATATACACTTAGGCTAAGTTTGGGAGTTTAGGATAGAAAAGTGAAGAAGGGAGAACTTAAGTTACGAGAGGACAGAAGAGATTGTTATGTTGTTTGGAAATTTTGAGAATTAATTGAATAATTTTGGATATGAAAGTCATTATATTTGTTCAAGACATTTTTAAGGATAAAATAGATATTTTAAAAAATTTTCATAAGGTTCCTCCTAATTTCTTTTTATTTCTCTCCAATTTGGGAGGAAAAATTTTACCTACTATTCATGGCTAATTTCTTAGAATATATGTATAAAAAAAAACATCCGTCAAATGTAGCTTTGACACAGGGTATTTTTCAATTTTATACCTGCCGTGCTGAGTCAGCATGGCAGCAAACTGAATTTTCCCTTCCCAGCCAAATGGTGTCGGCCGATCAGAGCCTCTGCAAAAATTTCAATTCGATCAGTGGCGGAAATTTTTTCTTTTAAATCAGCCTGTCCCCTACCGTGCTGACTGGGTATGGCTAGGGACAGCCAGTCCAAAAAAAAAAAAGGGCCATGCGCCTTTGTTAGGGTTTGACCATTACTGATTATTGAACTTTCAAAAACACCCCATATTTCTACCGATCTCCTTTGATTTCAAAATTGTTAGATGCAACCACTTGAAAAATTTACATACTTTATTTGTTTGTTAAAAAAAAAATCATGCAATAGAAATTCAATAATTAACACTAAAAAAATAGTACCAAAATTTGAACTAAACAAAATTCAAGACATTTTTCTAGTATTTAGCCACTAATTTGTTTAAAAAAATGAAAAGACATAGCTAACCATGGTTGTCTCAAAATTATTTTGTCTCCAAAAGTTTTTTTTTTAGTACTTTACCCTTTTCGTCAGTCAAAAATAATGTTTGATCATGTTATAAATTACTTAACTTTGGGAGGTGTTCATGTTTCTATTAGTTGGAACTTTTGGACAAAATTACCTATCCGTTTGGATTAGCTATTTTTGGGGTTATTTTTAAAAAATAGCACTATAGCATTTCGTTTTTGAAATACAAGTCCGTTTGGATTAGTTGTTTTTGGGGTTATTTTTTAAAAACAATATGAAAAACTTTTACTGTAGATGTTTTTTGGATTATTTTTAGAGGTATTTTTAAAACACATTTTTGAGTATTTTTATAATTTATAATTTATATACATTTATGCATTTATAATACATTTATAAATATTTATAAATAAATATATTTATATATTTATATAAAAATATATAAATGTATTATAAATGTATTATATTATATATAATACATAATATAAATATATTTATAAATGTATATTATTATAAATGTATAAATTATAAATGAATATTATATAAATGTATAATTTATAATTTATAATTTTTATATAAATATACATTTATGCATTTATAATACATTTATAAATATTTATAAATAAATATATTTATATAAAAATATATAAATGTATTATAAAGGTATTATATTATATATAATACATAATATAAATATATTTATAAATGTATGAGTGTATATTATTATAAATGTATAAATTATAAATAAATATTATATAAATGTATAAATTAATATATTATAAATATATATTAATATTATGTATAAATGTATTAATATCATTAATATAAATGAATAAATGTATTAATATTATGTATAAATGTAAAATTAATATTATGTATATTAATATAAATGTATAAATGTATTATATTATATATAATACATAATATAAATGTATATTATAAATATACATTAATATATATATTATGTATAAATGTAAATTTATATAAATGTATAATATATAAATATTTAATATATATAATATACATCAATATTAATTATAAATATTATAATATTATAAATATGGTGTTTATATAATATTTCAATTTGTAATATTTATTGTATATTTCATTATATAAATATTTATAAAATATATAATATATATTTTTCAATTTGTATAATATACATAATATTGTATATATAATATAATATAATATATTATACATAATATACATTTATACATTATTAACTATTATGTATATTATATATTATACATAACATTATTATACATTATTATACACAATAATTTACATAATAATATTATACATTAATAATGTATATATTATAATATAATGTACATAATATATTATGTATAAATATTTATACATTTATGTATACAATATTACATATTTTGTATATTATATTATATTATGTATAATATACAATATTATGTATAATATTAATGTATATAAATATTTATATAATATATAAATATATAAATATATAATTTTCAATTTGTATATTTCAATTTATATTAATATAATATATATATTAATGGTGTTTTTGGAATTATTTTGGAAATACACATTTAATGTAGCATTTGGAATGTGAAAAATAGTTTTTCAAAAACAGAAGCAAAAACAAGGAATCCAAACGGATCCCACACTTTTTCTAACAAATCCCTCTCATAAACCTTACCAAAGCTTACCCTTTCTACTTTAAAGAAAGAACCATGGTTTGCTATGTCTTTTCATTTTTTTAACAAATTAGTGGCTAAATACCAGAAAAATATCCTGAATTTTGTTTAGTTCAAATTTTGGTACTATTTTTTTAGTGTTAATTATTGAAATTCTATTGCGTGAATTTTTTTTCTAACAAACAAATAAAGTATGTAAATTTTTCAAGTGGTTGCATCTAACAATTTTGAAGTCAAAGGAGATCGGTAGAAATATGGGGTATTTTTGAAAGTTCAATAATCAGTAATGGTCAAAGCCTGACAAATGCACATGGCCCTTTTTTTTTTCATGGACCGGCTGTCCCTAGCCGTGCCCAATCAGCACGGCAGGGGATAGGCTGATTTTTTTAAAAAAATTTTCGCCGCTGATCGCACTGAAATTTTTGCAAATGCTCTGACCGGCTGACACCATTTGCCTGGGAAGGGAAAGTTCAGTTTGCTGCCGTACTAAATCAGCACAGCAGGTATAGATTGAAAAATACCCTGTGTCAGAGCTACATTTGACAGATTTTTTTTATATACATATATTCTAAGAAATTAGCCTACTATTCATCCTCCCATTTTTTTTCTTTTCTTTCTTACTAAAAACTCACAAACAAAAGAAAATCAGACTTTATCTTCTCTCCCTTTCTTTTCAGTCCAAGCCCTCAACTCCCAAAGGCACCCTTATATTAGTTCCGTTTGGATTAGCTGTTTTTTGAGGTGTTTTTGAAAAATTTTACTATAATAGTGTATATAAATTTTTTTTTGAAATATTTAATATATTGTATGGATGAGATGTTTTTTTAGTTATTGTGTAACACTGTAACATTATATTTGAAAAACTTAGGGTTTGTTTGGATTGCTTCATATTTTCCCAATTTTATTTGCTTACATCATCTTTACAATTTCCAATACACCTTTTTATCTTCCCAATATCTTTTTATCTCACATACATCACATCACAAAAAGTGCTACAGTAAAAATATCTCAAATAATCCCAAATAACTTACAATCCAAACAGACCCTTATTTTAGTAAAAATACCCAATACTAGGATTTTGGATGATTTGTTAATATATGGAAGGCA